AAGTGCCGCGGCACACTGGTTGAGAATCACTGATCTAGATGAACAAAAACAAAGCAACCATAAAACGAAGAAACTGATCCAATTTCGATTTCTTGTTTGTATTTTTTTTCTGTTTGAAAAAAAATCATGTTCATTGTAGCATCCATTATTTATGGTGTAGAAAAACGAAAATGATAGCCTTCAATTCTCATAAGCGACTACATAGTTTAGAATGTTAGCTTCACTGCAATAAATCATAATGATACATCTTTTTTTCCTTTTACACATTATTAGTGTATTACATGATTGTGGCCATAACCATTTTGTATTATGATCGATAATGATCATCAATTTACCTTTTGGATACAAACAGAGAGAAAGAGAGAGAAAAAAGTGTTGTTAAATTTAATTGAATTTTATTTGTTTGAGGTCAATTTTTTTTCTTTTGGTTATAAATTTTCCTATATTGACAATTGTCATTTGGTTTTTCAACTTGGTTAAATAGCAATAAATTATAGTGAAGAAAAAAATTAATTTAGAGATTCTACCAAAAGCAAAATCGATAAGCTTTTTTCATTTTTCAAAAATTTTTTGTTTGTTTGTTGGGATGCTGGCCATTGGCATTTTGAATTGATGATAGAATCTCACCAATGAAATAGACTGGTCCATTCAGGGATGGTTTGAATATAACTTAATATTTTTCACCCGGTTTCAAGCCCATTATAATGGTCATTGACCATATGGAACCAAAAAAAAATCTAATTCAAATCATCAAAGTTGGTCATATTTTTCATATATGAAAATTCAATTGTTCCCTTTCCCTTTCATTTTTGCATCATAATAAACACCAAAATAAACAAAAACGTGTCATTCAGAGAGAAGGGAACTCGAGAAGAATATATTGGAAATACAGAGGGAGAATGTAGAGAGTACCCAAATAGTGTAGGCATCATCATAATCACCTCAACAAAAAAAAATTCAAGTGAATCAATTCAAAATTGGCCTTCACAAATACAATCATACAAAATTTGATCACAGACGATCATTTATATTTGGCCATCATTAAATGTTCACAACAAAAAAAAAGAAAAATCTCCATCTTCATCCATCTATTTTACACAATTGATTCCAAATATTCACACTATTAGTTGATTTTTCAATAAAAGAAAAACAAATAAGCAAATACACAATGACCACCACCGGACATTGAGAATCATAGAGCGTTAAATATTCCAATTTTCAGATCGTTCAAGTGTGTTCATAAGTCATTTTGAATGAAAGCTGTAACAGGCTGACCAATCTCAATTTCGATTGCTATCTGTCTGTATATCTATGTGGAAGTCATTGAATCATACAGAGATAGAGAGACAAATTCTTAGCACAGATTGTGATCAGGCAATCTTCCAATTCAATATCCAAAAAAATATTGAGTATCATCATCATCATTTGGGGGCCAAAAATTGAATCACATCATTTGTTTTGTTTGATATTTTTGTTTTCTTTCATCAATTTTCTCTCGGTTTTTTATGTGTCCACTATCGGTATTTGTGTTTGAATAAATAAATGAATCATTGAATCAAATTCAGTCAAACAGAAATTGTAATATATTACTACTATTTTTGGAGTTTTTAATAATAACTATTGAAACAAGTGACCACAACTAATTTTTTTTGTTCCACTTATTCTTCTCTACTTATTCTGGGTTTGTTCACCTCATTGTCATTTCTATATATATTCTTATTGCTAATTGAATTTTCTTTTTTTCCTTTTCTTTTTTGCTCTTTTTTTCACGATGATATGAATCAAATGGAACGAACGAAACACACACGTGACTCACGTTTCCAAATCAATATGATAATGGAGCTAGACATGTTTTTTTTCCTGGTTTCATAGTCATTCATTCATTCATTCGCCAAGATATATTATTAGTCTCTCTATATATACCAAACACAAACCCTGAAAACATAATAAAAAAAAGTAATGATAAAGTCGATGGAAATTGAATTGTGTGCATTGATTTGATTGTCTTCAGTGTCTGCAGTGTGTGTTTCTTCATTACAATTTTCTAAAGTAGAATCTAAACGATGATAGTTTTGGATTTTTTATGTTTTCAACACAGATTTGGTCGGTGTGTGTGTATCAGATTCGCGCTCGAACAATCACTTTGCTTACATTCAGAATGCAATATTAACAATTTTCAGGAACTCATTCACACTGTTTCTATACAAGAAAATTCATTCGCAAAATCAAATGTGATACACAGAGAGAGAGCAAGCATCAGCAGCAATCTTTAAAATCTTTTTTCAATTACATTTGGACGCTCATTAGTTGAGGATTTTTCTGCTTCTTCGTTTTTTTTTTGATTCTCACTGTTTTTTTTACGATTTTGGTTTTATAGTAGTATGTCAATGTGATTTCTGGAGTGAGCGAATGAGTGTGGATGATGGATTTGTCATTTTTTGGCTGTCATTCTTTTTCATGTTTTTTCTACTCTCGAACAAATATAGACTATATAAACTCGAAAAAACAAAAAAGAATTTTAATTGTTATATAATGAGCATTTCAAATTCGAAATAAAAAGTCGATTTGTCTTGTTTCATTCTTCTTTTTCAAATTCATCATTGACTGTAACTACTAACAAGCTATGATCATCATCTTCATTCATTCATTCATTCATTCATTCATTCACTCCTCTAATATCACAATTTGTTCGGTTGGTCGGTCGATCATATTGTTTCACAATTTGTTTAAAACTAATTGATTGTTTGAAGCCGAGCAAAAAAAAAACTGACATCTAAAAATTTTATAATAATAACGATGTTGAACAAAGAAAAAAAACTCCAGAATTTTTTGACATATGACAAATATGCTGTGAATTTTTCTCCTGATTCATTTTATTCGGCTTTGATTTTTGCCTACAGGGTCGCTTTGCACGCGTTCTTTTTTTTTTATTTTTAAAATGAAAAGAAAAATGAATTTTTCTGAAAAAAAACCAACCAAAATGAAGCTAATTAATTTCATTTCATTTTGGCTGGTGTTGGCTGTAATTGTTTAATTAGAAATTCTGTTATCCATATACGCTCATTTCATATGTGATCATCATCATCATCATTATTCATCTTATGAATTCGGAAAGCTTACAAACAAAGATGAAATTGTATTCAAATTACACGCCTTCTCTCTTTTTATTCATTCTGATTAATGTTTAAGACATTTGTTATCGACTCGTTGATTTTGACAGTTTTTCTTTTTCTAACATTGACTAATGTTTTTCCGGTTTTTTTCCTTCTTTCTCAATAATGTTTATAGTAAAGATTCTATGTAGCAGAAAAACAATTACAATTCTCAATTATTTTTGAATTTTTCGACTTTGACTTCGATTCTGCATATATTCTGTATGTGGCACAGAAGAATACCTGATTAAATAAGATCATGTTCAAGAATTCTCATGTTTAACCAATTGAATTCTAATTGATTATTCACAACAATAATAATAATTAACAACTGATATATGGCTAACCCGGGAGTAAAACAGAACATCAGTTCAAAACCATTCGTAGTTTAACAAAAAAAACTAATTAGAATAAACAAATGTAAAAAGTCATTCAGTCAGTCAGTTTGTTTTTTATTTTTTTGGTGTCCTTAGTTGTAGTTAATTAACATTCTGTTTTTTTTTGGCTGATAAATACCAACTTTTTTCCTGTTGTTGTTTACATGGTCATCACTAACTTTTTTTTTTGTTCACCAAAATGCTAACTACATATACTACATCAATCAACTATCTGCCCATGTTTACAATATAAATAAATTGACCAGAATGATCTTCTTCTTTTTTTTCGGTTTGGTTTGAATGTAAAAAATAAATTCTCATTTAGGCAAAATTATCTGTAGGCAATTCAATATACATCGATTGTTTGTTGTTGCGATTTTACGTTTGAAAAGGAAACGTAACCAAAACATCTGTTTTGGGCAATTTTCTAATTGATTTTTTGTTTGTCTCCACTAAGCTTAATGAAATTTTTTTGAAATTTCCATTCAATCAGAATTCTTTAATTATAATCAGGTTCTGATATTTTCTCTTGCTTGCTCAATCATCATCATCATATGTGATAAACTTTTAATCAATGAAAAGAATATTAAACCAAAAAAACTTGAAAAAAATTGAGTTTAAACAAGTGATCGATCATTTCTTTTTTTTTCGGAACGAAACTTATGGACAGGCAAAAAAAATTCTTTTTCCAAATTACGTTGAAAGTTTTTTGTTTTCATAATAATATTCTTTAATGATTATCCTTGATTTAGGTTGATGATAATTAATTGGCACTCATAACACGCTTCAAATGGCGTTATAGCAAGCAAAAAAAACGATTCCGTTTTTTGTTGCTGTAGTCGTTGTTGCTGTAGAATTTCAACGACTACGACGTGATTAACAATTGATTTTTACGATCAATAATTTGATTGATGTGTTTGGTCATCCGAAATCGACCGATCATCAAATCATAATAATATATAAACGAACAACAAACAGAATATACACTAAATACAATTATGATTATGATGATCGATCTGTTTGTTTGTTGTTTTTATTGGTAAATGATCACCAGTGTTGTTGTTTCATTTTTGTTTGTTTATTTGTTTTCAAAGAACAATTTTCCAAGAATGAAAAAAATAGAAAAATAAAAATCCACACATTAATATTCTTTACAACCAGAAAAAATTGACAAATTTTTACCGTAGAACAACAAGAAAATGCCTCTCTTTTTGCTTCAAGCTTAATGTTTTTGTTTTTTCATCATTTATTATTCGTTTAGAATTCATTCTTCTGGTCTACAACCTGGGCTCGTCTGCAGTACCTATATGGTTGAATCATCATCGGAGGAAGAAGGGAATTGAATCAATTTCCGTAATTTTCAAAAAACAAACAACGAATCGATGAATGAATGATGGCTTCAATTCTAAATACCACTGTACTTGATTCTATTTTCTTCATTTATCAAATTTATTCATTCGAAACATATTACATATGACATTATTTCTAAGACCCAAAATCTTTAATTTGACACACGCATATACAGAGCAGATATCATACGAATCATCGAAATAAGTGGAACGAACAGAATTTTTCTTTTTTGTTGGTCAATGCTGTCATTATTAAATTCGGATAATCATCATGATGATACGTCGAATCGTCGCCGCTATCGTTCATCATCAAAATTATTTTGGACATTTACAACAAGCTCATTTTTTATTGCTCATATGGTTGTCAACATTTACATTATTATTCTGGATCATATCAATACCATCAGTCAAATGTTCAATGTTGAATTCCGGAAATGTTCGACAACAACCAAATATTCAACCAGATTTTCATTCAATGACTCTTTTGCATTATGATGATAATGTTGATGATGAACAAATGGACGAATCATACTTATCAGGTATGTATCATATTCTGATTCATTTTTTTCAGTTTCTATTCCTTCCATTCCATAGTCATTACTATTCGATTTTTTATTTATTTTCGATTTCGATTTTCATTTTTTATTCATTTTGATTGTTAAAGAATGAAAAAAAAGAAAAAATACACTAACAACAATAGAAAATAAAAAGAATCAAATTCAGTTTTTGCTTTTGCATTGTTGATTAGAGTTATTTTTATTCTTCAAAGCTTTCTCTCTCTCTCTCTTTCTCTCTTCTCTGTCATCAATGAAGCATTTCCATTAAATTTGGATTTCATTTCAGTTTGTGTTTCCTTGATTCTCTATATTCATTCGTTATCCCATCTTAAATATATTATTTTTTTTCGTTGTTGTTGTTATTGTTATAACAAAGAAAAGAAGCTTAACAATTTCTATGTTGACTTTGATATTGTGTCATTATTGTGATTTTTTTTTCTTTCTTTTGCTTTCTTGCTTGCTTTCAAATATTACTATTTTTCGAATCAATAAAATATACTTTGATGATTATTGAGAGAGAGAAAACAACTCTATGTATGTATCTATTATCATTATTCAAAATCCGTCAAGGTAGAAATAGTAGAATGGTTCTTTTTCTTCAAAGAATCAATGTAATTCCATCAAATCAAGCTTTTTAAAATGTATAGAATATATTTGTCTGTTGTTGTTGTTATTTGTGTATTTCGTTATAAATAATTGATATTGTGAAATCATATGAAAACTTAAGCAGTGAATTCGGATTTAGCAATGTTATACTTTAAAAAAATGATTAAAATATCTTGAATAATGTCAATTTGTAATTTGTGATAATAATAGATGCTGCATTTCATCATATTGACAAGAATAATATTATAACAACAACATATCTCTGTGATAAAGATGGTTCTATCGGTATACATGCATTGGGTATGCAATCTGAATCAATTCCAGATTCATCACTATCTGCATCGTCAGCATTCGAAATGTTACATGTTGGTCCACAAAATGCTAGGTAGGTGATATGATTCACATAATAATAATAATAATAAACAGTCTTGATTCGGTCAAATCAGATAAACAAGTCCATCAATTTTATCTTAGCCTGTGTGTTTTACTTTCAAATATAAAAAAGCTTTTATTTACTTTTGTTTTTTTCTTATCTACTCTGAAACAAAAATCCTATTATAGATTGAATAAAGATAAATCTGGTGGTGCCTGGTGTCCATCAAAACAACTTGGCCCGGATACATCAGGTACTGAATGGATACAAGTAGATTTAGGTTCATTACATGTTGTTACGGGTGTAGCAACACAAGGTCGTTTTGGTAAAGGACTTGGACAAGAATTTACTGAATGGTATAGCCTTTATTATTCACGTCAAACAATTCCAGTAAAATGGATCAAATGGAAAAGTTTAGATGGTCGTACAGTAAGTAATATTTTTATTCAGAAAAAAAACAGACAAATTCTTCCATAAATGTTTGTATTTAAAATTTCATTAATATCTACAATGCACGGGTATTTGAACATTAAAGGAAAAAAACATTCATGATACATTATTGTGTGGATTCAAACTTAATTACCCTTAACATTAATGGAATAGGGGATTATTTTTGATGATTAGAATGTGAATCATTCCAGATGAAATCATCATCATAGTTGTACCATACCCATCATATAAGATTTGGCCATCTTTTTTTTCCCTGTGCATGTGTTTCGTAATAGATTTCTCCTATGTTTTTCTTTTCGTTGTTGTTGTTGTTTCTTTTCTCATTTATCAATCAGTTTTTATTTCAGTGAGAGAGAGAAAAAAAAAGTTTTTTTTTCGTTAGCCAAATGTAAATATTTGTACAAATTATCAAACGAATCTAGTTGATGAGCTAAGCTTAAATGTTGATGATGATGATAGAAATGTTTGATCATTTTCTATAATATTATTTTTCTTTTTCTATTTTCAAGTTGCCGCAATGGTTCGGTTGTATTGAATATATCTCCGAATCTATATTTATTCAACTAATTAATATCTTTACATATAAACTTGGTTTTAGTTGTTTTTTCACTGTTTTTTTCCTACATTCAAACCATTAGCAATTATCATCATCCCAATGATCAAATTGAATTTAGAAGTTTTTTTAGTTTTATTTAGTTCATTTCAATTCACCAATGAAATTCAAAACTTCAAAAAAATTTCTAGCAATAGATTCTCAGAATGCGACGAATGAAAAAAAATGTCATCATTTTCCAGTACAAAAATGTTAATGATAATGACAAGGAGAAAAAAAGAAAATCTGAAAGAAAAAATCCTTCTCCATAATATTGATGTGTGTGGGTGTATATCTGGAATTTGAAACAAATTAAGTTTTGTCCCATTATTTCTCCAGACTTCACACACACATATATTTTATTTTTATCAATATTTCCGTTCCCTGTAAATATCAATTTGCATATAAATTGAATTAACATATACAGTTATTGAACGAAATGAAATAGATAGTTTTTGAATATTCCAGGCAAAAAAAAATCGCCATAAAACATCAATTAAATAATAAAGAAAAAAAATCAAATCATCATTGATTCAATAAAAGTTACAGAAATAAAAAGCCAAAATACATAAATAAATACGTGACATTTGATTATCCTGTTTTCGTTTTATTGTAACATATTCATCCTTTCTTTCTTTCGTTTTTTTTTTCTTTTAAAAAGAATTTGGAAGGAAATATCGATCCAAATACTGTACGAAAACATTATCTATCAATACCAATGGTAGCCGTAAGACATGTAAGAATCGTGCCTGTATCCAATCACACTCGAACTGTGTGCCTTCGTTTTGAACTTTTTGGCTGCTCTTATCAGGGTAAGTTGAAAAGAAGAATTTATTTTTTTTTCATTTTTAGTTGTTCCCAATTAATTCTTTTTTGTTTTTGTTTGAACGTGTCTATTTTTTTTCATTGGGTTTTTTAGGTCCAATATCATATACATTACCCGCCGCTCATGAAGCTTTAGCTAGAAGAAATCTTAACCAACTTCTTGATCTTTCTTATGATGGTTCAATGTCATCGACAGGAATTTGGTCCGGAGGCTTAGGACAATTGACCGATGGGATTAAATCGTTGTCGGCAATAAATTCAAAACAAAAAATTGTACAAGAACAAAATTGGATTTGGGTTGGTTGGCCTCGTATTGATGATGGAAGTGAAGCATCTTCAGTTACTATGTCATTTGAATTTGATCAAGTCTATAATTTTACAAGTATAAGCCTTAATTGTCGTCAGGATTTTGATAAGAATATAAAAGCCTTTGCTAGTGCTTTGTTATGGTTTTCATTGGACTATCAACGTTGGAGCCATTCAGCCATTAGTTTTGAATATCAATCCAATTTTGATGATAATCATGATGCAATCGACCAATCCTCCAGAGGTAATATTCCTAATTCTACTCTCTTTTTTTTGAAAAAATTTTTGCATAATATAATTGACATGAACAAGATTAATGCCCAGTTGACACGCACTTTATTCAGTTTTTATTCCCTAAATTCACTATAAATATGCCCAACTTTTTTTTTGTTTTTAATGGCCAATTTATACTAAATGGATTATTATTGTACTTTTTTTTCCACCCTGTTCATTATTGAATCATTCATTCATTCATTCATATATAGACATAGTTATTCCACTTCAACATCGTATTGGACAATTCATAAGAATCGAGCTTATCTATACTGGTGAATGGCTTCAATTAAGTGAAATATCATTCGATTTTAATACATTACCATCGAATTTGACATTTGATCAGAAAAATCAACTATTTGAATGGACTCATTCAGAAGCATATGCTATTTCAGCTGCTGCTGCTGCTGGCATTAGTACCAGTAGTGGAACACGATATAATATGATGTCTGGTCATGATAATGTCATGTTACATAATCATTCATCGAATAATATTGGTAAAAATAAATATCCAATTGGAAATGATAATCAAGAAAGTCAAGCAATTAAATATTCATTGATTATTGCCTGTCTTTGTACACTAGGTATTGTTTATTTTTTTTCATTTCCGTTTTTTACAAATATCGATTTTCTTTTCAAATTATCAGGTCTAGTCATTATTTCATTATTAACATCATTCATATTCAAAAAACTTAATCTTCGTAAGAATAATGTTTTTACTGAAATTTCCGATCCAAGTGATATGGAATCAGAAAATGCTGCTATTAATATGAAAAATTTACCCAAAGAAAGTGGTGGTGTTTGTACTTCTGGTAATGGTTCACCATTATATTGTAGTCCAAAAGAAATTTGTTCAATACAAGATGAAGCTGAATATGCAATACCTGATGTTATATGCCCGAATAATCTGTCAAGAACATTAGCATTACATAGTAATAACGATAATCATAATGGTCACCACATTGTTACGACAGCCAATTCAATCGTATGTAAAACGATCAACCCAAGATTTTATGCTTCATCGGATATTATACATGCTAAGCAAAAGTAATTCTTAATTTAAGAATTTTTTTCACTATTTTTTATTCGTTAACATAACGTTCGTGTTTTTTTTTCTTTTTCCTGATTTTCTAGCATTTATGGTACAAGAATTCAGCCACCAATTCGTAACATATTAGATGCTAGTGCATATTTTCGTACAATCAAAAATGGTTCCATACAAAATGTTTTACATCAACGACAACTACCATTATTGGATACGTTTTGTAATCCAAACAACCAACATGGTAATATTCCAATGAATTGTACACCTTTACGTTCACAAAGATTTTATTCGAATGATTTTATTAATGGAACATTTGGTGTACGAATATATTCTGAATCTGAAATTGGTGTAATTCAAAGTTTGGGCAAATCCAAATATGGAGATATATTATTGTGCAATATTCCGGTAACTACTTCAACATTAGCTACTTCTACTACAGTTTCAGCTAAAACCAGACTTGTTATTGTACGAACAGTCAATGATCTTGTATTGAAAAATGAATTTATCGAATCAATGGATTATCAACGTAAAATTTCACAACAACATATCGATACATTTGCACGTTTATTAGGAATCATTGAAACGCCTACATATTTTGCATCAATAATCGAATATGGTGATTGTGATCTCAATTATTTTTTACGCAAGTCTACCACGGATATCCTGAGGTATAGCCTATTAAATTTTTCTATTCAATCTTAGCTCGGGTATTGCTGATCCGTTCAAATTCATTCATCTTCACACACACCCTGTATACAATCAAATTTAATGCTGCATCATCAAAATTAAATGTTAGACGAGAAAGAAGAAAAATTCTGCTATTTTTTCCTCATTTGAAATACAATACCAAAAACGATACCAAAGGTTTTACCATAGTTACACAGAGTGAATTGAGACGTTTCATCTATTAATTTATTCCATATTTTTTTTCTTTCTATTATTTAAATTCTTGTTCAATTATTTTGATTCAATTTTCAATTCAAGTATTTATTCTTTGCATATACCCATAACAACACTTGGAAAATCAAGTGGCAAATAATGAATATATGGAGAAAACGAAAACGAAAACGAAATATTCAATCTCATTATCATTGATATGTTCACAATTCAGTTAGTTTGTTTGTTTGTTTGTTCGTTTGTTCTTCCATTCATTCACTCATTGAATAAATCAATTCAATGTCTGTTTCTATTCATTATCATCGACCGATTGAAAATCTGGCTACAGTATTACAAATTGGATTTATTATAAGTAGAAAAAATTATAATTGGCTTATAGTAATCATTATTATTTTGACCGAACCAAAAGAATTCATCTCCAAGTTTGTCATGCAACAAAAGAATTTCTTATTTTGCCTTAATTTTCATCAATATGATTAGAACTTATTAGAAATATAATGTCTTTTTCAGTATACCCATCAATCTCTTCAATATAACATCACATTGTTTTCAGCATTTGGTTTAAGATGAATGTTACGTAATCGACACACACACACAGCAAGCATCTATTTTTTTTATTGCCTTAGAAAATGATAGCCATTATCTTGAGAAAGATTGCCCTATGATCTAAATTATTTAAAACATTATTAAATTATTATTATTTTTATATCATGATTTTTTGTTCTTTGTAAAGTCTTGTTTCCTGTAAATTTCTTTCTAGTTTTTTCCTTTTTCTTGTCTCAATCTTCATTAGTATTTCATGTTTGTTTTAGCTTTCCCATATCAGATCAGATAAATTTTCGCTTTTCTTATTACTTTTTTTTGTAGTTTAATTTGATTTTGATGTCTAAAAATTTTTTTTATATTTTTTCACGAAATGAAATTAGATTTTCGAAACATCTACCTCTATTGACTGATATTTTTTTTCTTATTGTTTTTTTTCATTGTAGTTTTGATGCATTGTTGTATATAGCCAGCCAGATAGCTAATGCCTGTGTACATCTGGAATCGATAAAACAAACACATCAAGATTTAGCTACACGTAATGTGATTATTTATGAAAAAAATTTACTAATCAAAATAACCGATGGTGCTGTTAATATGGATAAATATAAACATGATTATTATAATGGTTTACCGATTCGTTGGATGAGTCCTCAATCGATTGTTCAACAAGAATTTGATAGTTATTCAGAAGTTTATTCATTTGGTGTTTGTTTTTGGGAAATATTAACTATGGCTAAATATCGTCCATTTATTGATCTTACTGATGAACAATTTCTAGCTATGATATATGCATACATGAATGATGGAGAAACAATGGATCATCTACCTAGACCAGCACAATGTCAAAATAAAGAAATTTATCAATTACTGCAGGAATGTTTAGATCCTGATCAAAATCAAAGACCAACATTCAAGGAGATTAGTATATTCTTACAACGTAAATCATTAAATTTTACAACCAATCATCAATTGGCTCAATAATCTGTTTAAAATTATTTTTCAACCAAAACCAAAACTAGTCTCAAACAAGATTCTCATTACCAATCTTTGATATGCATATCAAAGTGAATGAGGGGTTAATTATTTTTCTATCTCTATCAATATTATCAATGAACTTATCTCCCATTTTTTTCTGTTGTTTTGAATATACACATTTTGGTTTTTCTGTGATAAACACAATATCAACAACAAAACACACACACACACACTCTTATGTATTTAATCACATGTTTTCTATTCATTCCACACACACACTTAAACACAAGCACAAAACAATTGTTGCAATTATAATCACTTTTTCTGATAAATAAAATTAACAAAAATCTTGCTTTTTGATCTTATTTGGATATGGTTTTCTTTTTTAAAAAAATTTTCATTCATTTCCCGTCCAACAGATGGCAAAAGGATCGAAATTTTTAAATTTTTAAAATTTCGCTCATTTTCTCATACGAATCACAGAACAACAGAAGAAAAATGAAGGATGTTGCAATGATAATAAATGACGAAAAAATGATGAAAAAAAGTACATTTTTTTTTCTCTTTTCGCTAAATTCATAATGAATGACAAAATGTACTTTTTTTTTGTTTCACGCTTCGTTTCGCTTTTTTATTATTTATAGATTGATAGATACTTTCTTTTTTTTATAAAACATCATCATTCTTGTGTTAAAAACACACACAATCAAGAAGCAAGCAAAGAATTGAATGAGGATTGTTAGATCTAGTTATAGTTATGAATGTGTCAATGGTACTCAAGTACCAGCATTTTAATGATTTGCTCTGATTCTTCAAAAAAAAAATTTTTTAATTAATTAATCAAATACAGCATATACAATCAAGGATAGATTCACATAGTAGTTATCAATATCAATAGCTTCAGACTAAAATTGATTAAAAAGCGAAAAAAATAAAACATTCGAACACAATCGATATACCACGTGAATGATAGGTGATCATTATCATCATCATCGAAAGACGTGTGAATGACGACAATGAATGACTGAAGTATTTCTGTGTGTGTGTTTTTTTTTTAATTATATTCATAACTTTACAATGAATCCATCTATAATTAGCATCACTACATGTACAAAATGTCAGACTAGTTGATGAATGAAAAGAAAAAAATGTACATTGATGAATCCCCACATTGATTCAATGCCGATCATAATCAAACAGGGAAATTTAACCATTGGTTCTTTATTTGATTAATCGAAATGAATGAATGGAAAAAATCTAAATAATAAATAAAAAGTACAATGTCCAAGTTGATTGAGTTCATCATTTGAGGGATTTATTTATTCATTCCTAAATCAATTTGATTCAACAACAAAAAAAAATTCTAACCTACGCATCATTCATTTTTTATTATCGTTTAGAATTGTTCACATAGTAGTAGTGGAATGGTAAAAAGATATTCAAACGTCTGCTATGCTACATATTATTATGTTTTTTATGGTTTGTTTTGATTATGAACAGCGCGGCCATATATAAACATTATGATTTTTTTTTCGCACTCAAATCTTGATTCGAATTTTATGTTCACGAAAAAAACACGTTCTGGAATCTTCATAATAATTCTCGTTGATCGCAACACTGCCTGTTTGTGATTAAACCTCGAAAACAAAACTAAATCGTAAATGGCAAATCATAAACTATTGGTAAGATGAATATTATAATCCTGTGATTGATTGGTTGATTAATTGTTGTTGTTTGTTTGTTTGTTGTTGACAATATTATCAAACTTGTTTACAGACAAAATTTTCAAATAAATACGCATAAAATCAACATAATCGTTATCAAAATCAAACCAGATTGGTCATTCATGTGGATGAATATAAATTTATATTTACAGCTTTTCATTTGGCTGAATATGTGAATATTGATGATCAGTTTTTTTTAATCATAATTCACCATTAAATATTGATTTTGGTATGTAAAAATGTATTGAATTTCGTTGTTCTAATTATTTTTTTCTAATTTACATTCATTATAGACAATGTTTTCCATACATTTTCCAACTTATTCACGTTTGGATGCATTGAATTCATTAGTTACAAAATCGGTACATGTTCTTTGTTTACCGGTCGATTTTTTATATCAACGACCTGCTAATGATTGGTCAAGTTTATATGATTTGAATATATTGAATCGTTTTGAATCCAAAAGCAAAAAAGCACCATGTCGTTTATTGCAACGTTTATTTGATTATCATTTGATTGAAAATAACCAAAAATTTTCTTCATTGCTCGATGTAAATTCTCGACAAGCAATTGTTGATTATATAATTCGAGAACGTATATCAGTGCAGGCTGAATTTGTCATCAACTTGATCGAAGATGGTGGTGTATATAATTTTGATCTTTGGCAATTGACTGAAATAAATGAATTCACTCATGAAGAAATTGAACGAATGCTTAAATCAATGTACACTTATTCAAAATGTTTTCGTCAATTATCATTAGGCGGTGCAAGTTGGATCTATCATAATCGAATAGTAAATGGTGCATTGAAAATGTTTCTTTGTAATAATCAAAATTTATCCAATGTAAAAACTTTAAAAATTCAACATTTAACATCTGAAATCGATATAATTTCATTATTCAATTCATGTTCGAATCTTGAACATTTAGATATTGCTGAACCTTCATTGAAAAATCGTGATATGTTCAAAATGACAATGCATTTATCATCAAATTCTGACCTTCCTATTTGTCGAACATTAAAACATGTAACTTTACCATCATCATTGCAAGAGGAAGGAATCATGCATTTTTTAGCTCATTTTCCCAACATAATTCATCTACGGTGTACTCCATTCGAACAGTTATTGGATTTATTGGACCATTCGATTGCTAATAATTCATCAAATAAATTCATTGCAGAAAAAGCATTAAAAGTTTTACAAAATCTTCGAGCATTATCGATAGCTCATCCAATGAGTCGTAACATGGTGGATCGTTTGCTTTTAAATTGTCCGCAAATCGAAGAATTATCACTGGAATTACAGAAATACATGTCTTTGACTACATTGGCAACATCGGCACAACGACTCGTCAAACTTGAACTTCATAATTCAGCCAATCAATCGATTAGTTTTACGGATCACGTTGTACCGATATTGGAAGGATGTGGTCAACAAATGCAAGTTTTGAGTCTTATCAATTTTGATCATATCGATTTGACCAAATGCGCCCAATACTGTCCGAATTTATGCTCATTTTCAGCACAATGCTTCACAACAATTACCTATCAATCACGATTATTACGTTGGATGAATGTAAAAGATCCATTTAGAAATCTTAAACATTTACGATTACGTCCTCGACCTGATTATTCACTACCTCTTGATGTTTGTGTTTCTATGCTACAGAATTGCCTAAATATTTGCCATATTGAATTATATTGTTGTTTAGAGCTAACCGACGATAATATTGATCAAATTAATCAAACAAATCGTTTTAAATGTTTACAGACTTTTATATTACGTCATGGTCATAGTGTTACTGATCAGGCACTTTGTCGTTTAGTTTCATTGGCCGTTTCGCTCAACAATCTGGTCTTTCATGATTGTGGACTAGTTCCACCCGATATCAAAGAAATTTTGTGATTCTATTCATTTTTGATATATAAAAAATTTTTTTTACAGACAACAAAAATTGCTTTGAACATTTTTGTATATAAAAAAAAATAAAATTGATATTTTTGCTTGTTATGGAATTTATTTTTTTCATCTTTAAAATGTAATCACAAAATACTTAAAATGAAAAAAATGAGATAAAGATTATGTCTACAAAAATAATAATAATATCTGCAAATTTTGAACAATTGTTTCGATTTCAGTCGGAAAAAATTAATTAATAACATTATGATAACACTTGAGTTTTTGTCATTGCCAATATTAATGACTGATTGATTGATTGATTGATTGATTAATTCTCTTATCATTATTAGCCAATGTCATTGATTATCCAAGTTTTGTATACAACAACGATGTTAAACACGACATATTGTACACATGTTAAATACAATCTTTGAGAGATTGCAAACAATATTGGATGGAATTAAATTTCAATTATTTTTTTCGATGATAATAACAATAAATCACCAATAATATGTTTGTCCATCATATTTTATCATCAATAACACGTGATGATTATGATAATGAGTTGACGAAAAAAAAACCGGCAAAATCTGCTTCGTTATACTAGATTTTCTTTTTGTTGAGATGTAGAGATTGGGCAGATGTCATTGCTTGTTTGTTTGTTTGTTTGATTTGCCATTGTCATATCATCTCTATGATACCTGATTTTTTGTTTTTTGTTGTTGAATATGAAAACATTGTTGGCTTGGAATGTTTTTTTTTTGCTTTAGATCAAAATCATCATCTATAGATTACATTGTAACGGTATACGTCATATTTACAACAGTAATTTAATTGAAAAAAAACAAGCGAAATAAAGACACCGCTCAAATTTTTTTTTTTTTTGTTATGTTATGTTGCTAATGATAATGGCCATAAAACAAATAATAATAATGTCTCCAAATTATTTCCGTTATTGATAATTTGAAAGAGTTTGCAATTCTTAGTCAAAAATGATTTTTGATCTTTCATTCATCGAAGGTTTCAATGTTTTTAAGATGACCAATGTCAATCACGGTCTATAAGTTGGAAGAAAATGATTCGTTAATTTCAATGAAAAAATTTTTTATAATCATAGTTGTCAAGTAAGAAAATAGGTGTACATTGAATGAAAAAAATTTGCATTTTCATTCTTTGTTTGATCTAATTTTTTTAGTTCACCATTTTTTTTATTGATTGGTTGTTGTCAATGTTGTTTGGCACTATGGACACAATCAAAAAAAATCAAATCTTTCATCACCTGGCCAGTAAAATGACTAACCGTTTTTCTTTTCTTTACCTTTAACAAAAAAAAAGTTTCAGAACATCTACTCAATCAATATAACAATCATTAAAAGATATAATCAAACGTCTAATATATATTAAAAAAGAACTAAAATTGCTAATTGATTTATCATTATCATTTTTTCATGTTTTCAATTGACATCAACATGTATGATTAAAAAAATTAATTTTCAAAATCAATTTAAAGAAGCAACTTGTTTACACTTATATCACTTGTTGAAAATCATTATCATCATTGAGAAATATAAAATTCCTATATAAAAACAGTCTAAAAAAATTCTTACCTATAATTTTTTTTTTTTTTTGGTTAATTGATAATCAGGTGAATCATTGTTACCTGTTACCTGTTGTTGCTGGTAAGTAATCGTTTTTTCTTTCTCTGTTATTTAAAAAAACGACATACATTTCTTTCAATGGGGTCTTCAATGTATCATCGTTTGTTGTTGTTGTTGACAATTTACTATCTATTTTTTTTCTGTTTTGCCAAGATCCCCCAATATTTAAAAGCAATGATAGAGTGTAAACGAACTCTCATTTTAATTTGATTTAAATTTGATCAGTTTTGTTAAGATCATCCAAATCATTTTCATCCGAAAAGGAAAAAACGAAAAAACAAACCAAACAGATTCGTAAATTCGTAAATAAAATACATTGTTTGTTCAGTTGATCACAATGTCTAGTGTATTGGTCATTATCATCATACCTGATCAACAATGTGAAATTGAAGTTGCTGAAAAAGAAAAATTAGTAAGAAAATTTTCAACAAAAAAATTCAAAAAAGATCTTTCAATTAATATCGATAATGATGATGAAAAAGAAATCGATGATAATGATTCACTTGAAAATGTAAGATTCAATTTAAAGATTGTTTATATTTAGTTCTTTTCAAAATTAACAATTTAGAATGATATTAGGTTGTAAAAATTGGTCTCACATTTCTGGGCATTCCCGATGCAACATGGCAAAAATCATTTAATGGAAAATATTGGCATATATTATTTCCAGTTGATTTGGAAGATAGTGATGTTGTTATTCAGTATTTTAAAGCACGTGGTATTGGATTACATCGAAATTCATCAATCGGGTATGAATATGATAACACATAATGGATTATTCTTTTTTATTCATTCATTCATTATAATTATTCAATAAGGATAATTCCATTTTCATTATTCTGTTACAATGAAGAAGCAGCCGAATTGGAACAAGAATCAGCAAGTGAATTGGATGAAAAAACACGTGAAGTACTTAGTATTAAAGAAAAGCAAAGTAAATTTCTTAAATCAGTTACAGCTCGATTAACAGTAGCACAAATTGTAAGCAGTGTTCGTGATAGTGCTACATTGACATTTGATTTTATTTGCTATCTAATATTTGCTTCATGGATTGCTGCAATGGGTTTACTTGATAATAGTGTTATCAGCTTGGTAGCCAGTATGTTGGTATCACCGATGATGGTTCGTATTCAATTTCTTCGATTAATTTGATGCATCATTTATTCATATATTTCCTGCAAACAAAATAATAAATTAGGGTCCAGTAATGGCAATGACATTCGGAACGATTATTAAGGATAGATCATTGCGTAATATGGGAATCAAAAATATTTTCGTTTGTTTAATGGGCACAATTTTATTTGGTTTTATATTCGGAATGATTGCTTTGAATTTTACTCAATCATGGACCGATTCATTAGGATCAAACAATACATATACTTGGCCTACGGATATGATGCGTGAACGTGGTTTAATACGAATCACTTGGGTTGGTACACTTGTTGCATTTCCTTCAGGTTGTGCTGTTGCTATTTCACTTTTATCCGGTAATGATGCATCATTAGTTGGTGTTGCCATTTCGGTATCACTTTTACCACCGGCAGTTAATGCGGTAATTAAATATTATACAATTAGCAAAAAATTATTCATAATGTTAATTTATTATATTCAATGTTTGTAACAAAGGGTTTATTATGGGCATTTTCATTGTTAAAATTTTTATATTCATTGGGTGAACCAGGAAAAACAATGATACAATTTCAATCACATTTCAATCAAAGTACAATGATAGAATTACCACAAGCATTAGTTCCATTGGAAAATTATACCACTGTTTACAGTGATAATATGGCATTGGAAACACTTTTTCTTGGATTATTAAGTTTATGTCTTAGTTTAATTAACATTGCAAACATTATCATTGGAGCTTTGTTATTATTGAAGGTAAAATTACAATGATTATTTTATTCACTTAACCTTTTTTCATTTTACCCTAATAACAGATCAAAGAAATAGCACCATTATCAAATCTATCACCAGTAAGTCGACGATTCTTTCAAGAAGATATCAAGGTAATGATGATAATTACAATATGATCAGAATCTCATTCCCATTTTTTCTCATTCAATTAGATTGCTCGAGAATATAATCAAAGAGCTGGACCAAGTAATCTTAGTGAAGATGTTCTAAGAGAATGGGCTGTATGTTTTACATATTTTAAACAATATTTTTTCATAAATATTCAATTTTCACATAGACAATTCATGGTTATGATTCGGAACAATTAATGAAACCAGAATTACGTGCTATTCAATTAAAAGCTTTAGATGATATTGCTAAAGATGTTGAAGCTGATCAAATTTTTCAAACTGTTACACGTAGTGTTCATAATACCGTATGAATTGATATTGATTTTGTTAATTTGTAAACTTTGAATTGATTCTTTAACCTCTTATCTGACAATTTAGGACAATAATATTGCTCGTAGATTGAGTACAAGTTTATTTGTAAACGATAACAATGGACTTTATGGTCGTCGTCAAACATCAGCATCTATTTTTAATCATCATCCACCAACAATAGTTGTTTCGGATGCACAGAATCCTCGAAGACCAAGTTTTGCACATTTTGCTGGCAACAATAGACGACGAATTTCAACGGCTGCATTAAGAAATAATTTGGTGAGTGATTTTCTGATCAATATAATAATAATGATCTAATGATCGGATCATATCTACAGGATGAAATGAATGATAATCTAAGTCCAACAAAAACCTATCATGGTCATACAAACAAGGCATTCTCATTCAATGAAAACGATATAAATGATCAAAATAATTGGAAACGTCGTGGTAATCGTCCGGTTGTAAAACTTGCACCATGCGATTCTGATTCCGGTGCAAGTTTCAATGATAAATCATCATCACCACCACCATCACCAAAAATGAATGGAACTCGTTTTTAGCGGAAAAATTTAAAATCATTTCAAATTTTCTATTATCATTCTCATTTCTGATCATTCTTTTTTTTCAAAAAAATAAAAATTTTACAAAATATGATTCATGTTTATGTTGATTTGATCGCTACTACTAGATGACGCTCATTTCGCCAAAATTTTTTTGATTTTCAGTTTTTCAATTCTTTCATGCATTTTTATCATTTTTCATTATCAGATGACAGATTACAGAAGAAAAATAGGGAACGAGATTCGATAATTAATTGATCCATATAGAAAATAAACATGATGAAAACTTTAGAATAATAATACTATGTATTGTTTATCGGTCATTTATGATAATCAATCGGTCAGTTATCGGGTCAAATGACCGATCCAAAATAACATTTGTGCATATGTGTTTGTTTGTTTGTTTGTTTGCGATGGTGAATGTGATTTTATTTTATTGCCACCCTATTTGATTGTTGTTTATTAGTTTGCTTTGTTGTTCGATTGAATGAGAACAACAACGAAAAAAATCGTTAAGTCATGTCAAATGACAATGTTTATAGTCGACAACCGATACAATTGTTAGTCGATCCATTGTCATTGTGACATGATTATATTTTTATTATGTTTTGGAAGGTCCTGATTGATTAGCATTGGTAATATGTAAAAATATATCTTATCTTATCCAATCTATAATCTAAAATATATCGACAAAATTGGATGTATCGATTATTTTTTTTGTTTCTTTTTTGCATGCAATTTCATTCATTTAATCATTCATTTTCCCTATTCAACATTTATGCAATGTTTGGCATTTTTTTATTTTTCGTTCGATAAGTTTCATCTCTGTTCGTTGATTGTTTATTACAAGTTGCTTGTATTCATTCATTCATTAAGAATTGAAAAGCTTACGGCTTAGAACATCATATTTTATTGATTACTTTAGTGTGTGTGTGTAGGGTCTCCAAAACATATTGGATTGCCTAACTTCGTTTCGTTTCTTTTTTTTCGTGTAACCATTTTCATTTCGACAACCGAAAATGGGTAATAAATCCATTAAGACTAAATCCGATGAATTTCAAGCAACAACAACAACAACAGAAAACTATAGCGAAACTGGTAATATTGGTTGGCTGAAAAAAAAGCACGTGCACTTTTACCATTTCTTTTCTTTTTCGTTGTTGTTGTTGCAGATGCACTCTGATTATTCACTTTGGTAATAATCACTTCATAATTCATGCTCATTTCCAAAAAAAAAAAAAAAAAAAAAATTGAAACCTAACGGTTCCATGATTCTCTGATGATTTATACTTCATGTTCAACTGAGATTTTCCACCAAAAAAAAACAAGCTTTCACCAAATACCGTATGGTTGTTTTTTTTCTAACTACTGAAATGACATTTTGTTACATAATTATATAATGATGGCTATGATTATGATCTCATTTTTTTTTGGTCAAAGAAAGAGAGATCATAGTCAGTCAATTCAATTCCAAACAAATTCATACAAATTGAAATGAAAAAAAAACATAATCATAGATTCTATTTCTTGTTTCGTTGTTTTTTTTTGGTTTGAATGTCGCTTTCATCGTTATAGAAACACGTCGTTGAACTTAAAATATTACCTTCATCGGGTCACGAACTTCTCTTATAATGAATGAAACTGCATTAGTAAACTGAATATAATATGGAATGGAATCGTCCTAATTCCTTCTTTTTGCTTGGAATTCTACCTTTGTGAATGTGTATGGTTAAATAGGATGTGTTCAATGGTAAAAATCCTAATGTTTTTTCGGTAATTAAGATGGCAAATTTCGGCTCCTTTTTTTTCTCAGTCAAATGTCTCTGTCTCTCTGTGTGTTTATGCATTTTCCAATTATAATCATTGAATCCCCCCTCTCTCCAACACTGTGAAGATAGAGAAAGAATTTTTCAATTCGTTGTCGCTAATGTTGTTTTGTACAACAACAAGAACAACAACAAAATACCAGGCTAAAGCATCATTTGGATAGGATATATTCATTTCAAATTTTGATGATGATGATTCGGAATTAATTGAAAAAAAACACTAATCAAGAGCAATAAAAAAAACGACCGATGATGATGACGATGAAATTGAATCGAAATACATCAGTTTAAAGGCCACGCTAAACATTTCAACTAAAATCATCCTTGTTGTTGTTGTTTGGTTGATTGCATAGGATGCATTCAATTTTTGTCATTCATCTCTCTCTCTCTCTCTCTATCTGATCTGAATGTCGTTTTTATTTCTTTTTTGTATTTTGTTTTTTGGGTCGATTAATCTCTCTCTCCCTTACTTATCTCAAACATTGTCGTTGTTGTATAACAATGGCATTTTTTAAAAAAAATAATTTTCACTAATTGAATTTCATTAATAAAATAGCAAATGTCAAATGTTTGGGCATATTCTTTTTCATCATCATCCTTGAATATTCATCATGTTAGATGACGATTCACTGAAGCTAACTGTGCTCTGATATTCAATTTTTTAATGATTTAGCTTAATGATTGCAAATAAGCAGATTCAAAACCATTCAATAATGGAATTGAGTATTGGGAGATTGTTAAGTAATTCTCCAAAGTAGCTATTCAGATAGAAAAGAAAAAATTTTCAAATCTCAATTGGAAAAAAAGATGTTATGTTTGGTTTAAGCTTTTTCACTTAAATATTTTTTTTCAGGATTTGAAATTTTAGTTTCAAAAAATGAACCAACGAAATCAATTCGTATCATTCTATCATTCAGCCATGAATTTTTCGTTTTCTTTTTTCTTTAAAATCTGTAAATATAACTGTTGTTAATCTGATGATTTCACAAATACTAATGTTGTTGTTGATTCTATCATTCTCCTGGGAAATTACATCTGTCCAATTCCGATAGGTTGTTGTTGTTGTTTTTCATTGAATGATTTGAAAGAATTTATTTGTCACTAATGCATCCATTTTTTTCAATATTGTTTTCGGTGTTTTCGAAGTTAAAATCTGCTTTAAAAAAATTGAATTTTAATTCTACGAATTAAAACCCTGATATAATAACAACAACAATCCAAAATCCTTGATTTTCTACAATGTCAGTTTCATCATTTTATCATTATCATTATGGTTGTTTATAAACAGTAGCAGCCATTACAAATGATAGACTGTTATTCATAATATGATGGTGATAATGAAATGTTGTTTGCCCAAAAAAAAATTGCATTTATTTACCAGCATATTTATTGAATTTATACAATGATTGATTGATTGATTGATTGAAAGAATAGCTATTGTTTTTGTTTCTGATTGATTCAAACAAGCAGCAGTAGCAGCAGGTATATAATCAATTTATGCAAATCATTTTTATGTTAAAATGAACAAAAAAAAATCGATCTCTTTTTATCCCTTCTTTGCTTTATTATTGCTTTTTTGAATGTTTGAAAGAATGTTTGTTTGAGTGTTATTCTACATTCTGATTGACTGTTTTTCTTTCCTATTTTTTTGATCAGGCAGATATTCTGGAATTTTTTCACTATAATTCAAAAGTTTTTTTCCTTTTTTTCTCGTTTCGTTTCGTTTCAAATATGATTGCTAAACGAGGCGTATCTCTCTCTCTCTCTCTCTCTCTCTCTCTGCGAAACGAGGCGTATCTCTCTCTCTCTCTCTCTCTCTCTCTCTCTCTCTGCTGTAAAGCTGAATGAATTTGAAATTCCAAATGATCAAACACATTCGTAAGTTGTTCCAAAAATGAACAGGCAAAATAAAAAGTAGAAATAGAAATGAAAAAACTTTTCAATTTCGTCAACACGTGCTCATTCAGTTATAATCCTGAACTAATAATAATTCACAATATTTTCTCTACTTCTTTTCCACTTTTTTGTTGTTCATTTGAATCCAGTGAAAAAAAAAGGAAAATTCTTTTGACGTTTATTATTCGATAGAATTGCTATTCTTTTTCTGATCAGGAAAAAAACTGAATGCCAGTGAAACAAAAAATTGATTAGAATTTTCCAAATGCTCAAATTCACATTTAATGCCTAACCTGTGCATGTGCATGTAATCTTTGAACCATTACGGTAAGATGGGCCATTATCTTTTGAAATGTTCAAATTTGAAAAGAAAACGAAAAAGAATGAGAATGAAAAGAAAATCCGAAATGAAAAAGAAAAATTCGACATTCGATACAATTATTACATGAAATTTACAACAACAACAAAAGAAAAGAAAAAAGATGCTACGCTTAACAAATGATGATGATGGTGGCTGTCCAAATCATTACAATCTATTAAGAAGAAAAGTTGCCCATTCTATTGTCAAAAGAAACATGATGATGATGATGATGATGATGAACAATCCACTAATATATCTCTAATAGTATTATATGTGTTATGTGTTGTTGGCAACAAGTTGATCGAATAGAAAAAAAAACAACATTGTATGATTTTTTATTATCATTATATTTGCTATTGAATTGATTTCAATATTGTTGTTGTTGCAGTTATTGTAAAGGTAATTCGTTGATTTTGTTGTTCATTCAATTTTGTTGTTGTTGTTGTTGTTTGTTCATACAAAAAATATATAATGGAAAATTGTTGGCCCGGCCAATCGATATAATTATCATCATCTGTCTGCGGTCCATTCTTTCTTTTTTTCTTTCATTCGTTTTTTTTCACATCCACATTTTCAACAGCCATTTGATCGTTGTTGGCTGTTGATCTTTTACATCAGTGGTAACAACTTTTCTTTCCAACAACTATTCTTTTCCATTTTGGTGTTCGTTCAAAAATCATTCACGGCCTGTCAATCGAGCTGTCAATCGATTGTTGTTGTTGTTGTTGTTGTTGTTGTTGCTGTTATTCATTCACATTTACAAAATTTAAATGTGATAACTCTCTGACACCAGCCATCCACACACACACAAAACAACTGAAACAATTTTCATTGATATTTTGAAAAAAGTATTGAAATCTTCTTCATCATCATCATCAAGTTTGAATCAACAAAAGTCAAACAACACATTTAACACACACACACACACACACACACAAATCGATTAACATTTTGTTTTTTTTGACAG